GAACTGGATTGGGCTCTAGATTTCCTCAAAGTCTCTGAGTAAATGATAGTAGTAAAGCCATGAGACTGTGCATGCTATTGTGACTTTGCCAAGTGCTTCACTGCCCCATAATCAACATAACAACCTACATTACAAAATGGCAGCACCACAGAGTATTGCTGATGGTCCAGAAGAACTATTTAAAAATGAATTCAGGGTATAAAAATATAAATACACATTGAAAAATGATAGGATTTAAAAGTGAATGATAGGACATACTCCCCTCCCCATCCCTTTGAAAAGAACCCAGTGCGATTCACTTATGTTCCAGATTCAGTCTATCAATTGTAACTTATACCAAAGTTAATTCCGTAATGGACAGATACTGAAACACACCTTTTGTTTGCCAAAAAATTGGCACACCAGTTTGAAACACAGGAGCCATTGAAAATGCAGTTGTACAGAGTATGATGACAATTCCAAGACCTTACTATAGTGACAAATTTTGCTGTCATTGGTATGAACATTTCAATGGGGTTATTTCAGAATTACCCATGGGTGACAGAGCAGAATTTGGCCCATACGTATTAAAATGCAGAGCAAGATCCAACTGGTAAGCATTAATCCATCTCAATATTTTGATGCTTTGCCAAATCTTTTGACATTTTCCCAACCCTTCTGTAAACATGACAACCCATTTTTAGGCTATGTAGGTTCTAGGTACAGCAAAGGTCTCATTGACACATGTTATGGTACACCTCTAACGTACTGCAATATAGGATTTTATTTTAAATGAAATCTGTCCTTGATTGATGCCCAAAGTAATGTAGTGGTTTAGCTAAGGAGCATGTCACACTACCTGTACAAGACACATCTGTAACTAGGGTGACCAGACAGCAAGTGTGAAAAATCAGACAAGGGATGGGAGGCCTATATAAGGCCTGGTCTACACTAACACCCCAATTCGATCTATGGTACGCAACTTCAGCTACATGAATAACGTAGCTGAAGTCGACATACCTTAGTTCGAATTTACCGCGGTTCAGACGCGGTCCACACGCGGCAGGCAGGCTCCCCCGTCGACTCCGCGGTACTCCTCTCGCTGAGGTGGAGTACTGCAGTTGACGGCGAGCACTTCCTGGTTCGACTTATCGCGTCCAGACCAGACGCGATAAATCGAACCCGGAAGTTCGATTGCCAACCGTCGAACTACCGCGGTAGTGTAGTCCCAAATATCGGAACTGTCCCTATAAAATTGGGATATCTGGTCACCCTATCTGTAACCATAGGCATATCAATCTCTGTGCTTCAGGTTCCCAGAGGAAAACCAATTCCTTTTTCCCCATCCGATGTCTGCTCAGCGTGTATGCTCTTTGGGGCAGGGGCTGTCTCTTAATGCAAGAGTACACAATGGAGCCCAGATCTCTGGTGGGGTGTCTAGGTGTTAGTATAATACATACAAGTCACCAAAAGTTTTGACTGCAGTGACAGAATCAATTTTGTAACCATATGTATAATAGCAAAAGAAGTGTCCAGCCATTTCAGGTTAGTTAAAACACCTACTTGTGGTTGCATTTCCCTCCACCCCTCCCCATTTTTCAAGTGCAAGCATGTATTTGCTTTCTTTGCACATGTCTCGTGATTAACTGTCCGCAAAAGTACCTCATACCCATTGTCATCTACAAGATAAGGAGGAAACAGCCATACTGCAAAGTCTGTGGAATTTGTGGGTGGATTTACTGCCAAGTGTTGCTGAGTCTGTCTGATGTGGATACTGCTGTGGAGTGTTTGGGTTTACTTCATTTGTCTCCCATCACTAATGAAGCATTAATGTGAGGAATCATCTGAGTTCTTCTAATTGCTCTATATCCCAGGGTCAATCAAAAGCTAAAGTATTTGTTCAGGCTGTATGAAGTTGGGAGAGATTAAAATGCTTTTCTGTACATTATATAGAAGGTGAAAGTGTAGTGCTGGAGTATGACTGTTACCAGCCATGAGGTGACACATGTTTGAAGAAGGAATATGCTTATTTGAATATCACCATAGTCAACAAGTTACATACCTATTCTCCTTCAGCATCCGCTTTCCCATTCAAAGGCAGCAGGGTCAGAGTGCAGATTTTGTCCCAATAAATCCAGGTTGATTCACATACTACATTAACAGAGATAACTAAGAGAATTCAAAGATTAAGGCCAGAAGAGACCATTGTGATCATTCTGATCTGACCTTCTGTATAACATAGGCCATAAGACTTCTCTGAATTAATTCCTGTTTAAACTAGAATATAGCTTTTGGGCAGGGAAAAAGCCAATCTTGACATAAAAATATCCAGTGACAAAGAATCTACCACAATCCTCAGTAAGTTGTTCCAGGGGTTAATTACCCTCACTGCTGAACAATGCGCACCTTATTTAGTGTCTGAATTTGGCTAGCATCAGCTTTCAGCCATTGGGTCTTTTTGTACCTTTGTCTGCTAGATTCAGTGCATTACCTCTTTCTATCTTGAATTAGTTTCAACCAAGGTAAGAAAAAATAGTTTGGGGTTCTTGTTTTAGCTTCTCCATCTCCAGGACAGAACAAACACCCACATGACAAGATGTATAATCACATTGATTAATGCACTACTGGAAGACGCTCGGATATTATGGCGATGAGTACTGGAGAGAATTTAAAAAATCTCCAAAAATGTATCCACGTTGGTGCAATAGAGTTTGCAGGGAACCCTAAAGATTGACAAGGAAAGGATGTGGCAGGTGTATTGACAGAACTTGGTGGACTAACTTGCACACTGGCTGCTTGAACTCTGCTATTCTTTAGGTATTGTCATTCAGTAGAAGACACATTTACTTTGAATTTTTAAAAAGTAATGAACAGTGAGTTGTTTGAAGTTTTGGTACATGAAAGAGCAAATCTGATCTTGACACACTAGGAGTGAAATTCACCAACGTGCACAAGGATGCATTGGTCTTGTGTTGGCCTTAAGTTCCACTTAAGTCTCTGGAGCCAGATCAAAAGTCAGTAGTCAATAAGACTAACTTCTGTTGACTCCAATGGGCTTTGCATCAGGCCCATGGTGCTTTGTTCCCTCTATGTGAATGAAATACAAAAACCCTACAACATGTTCTGAATGCAATTTTAAGATACTTTTAATCACAAATGAACCCCGCCCCCTCCTTTCTCTGTGTAAACCCTTCAAGGATAAACCCAAAGGAAGCATGTTGAGTCATGATTTCTGATATTTGGATTGTGTGTGTATTATCTATATTACCTTTAAAACAAGATTCCTGTTTAACATATCCATTCATGCACGTGGTAGGTCTAAAAGTTACTGTTTTTATTTACTACTGCCTTGCTTCTCTCATTATCACTGAACAGCAAATTGAGTATGGTGAATGACAGACTATGATGCCCCTGAATAATATCCCAGAGCAGGAATCTTTCTAAACCTTGTTTTATGAACTCTAGATTGCATATGGTAATCTTGAGCTGCATCAGACAGGGACACCTTGCCTGTGATTATCTTGCAGTTCAGACTGATTTTAAAAATGACATGACATGGAAAATTCTATTGAAAGAAAGATTTGATAAATTCTATTCACTTACACACCTATAGCCATATTTGAAGGAAGCAGCATTTGGCTTGCTGTAAGTCATGAGCTCAAGGTCATCTGCTGCATAGCAGCGTTGAGAAGTTAACCAAATTTAATAGTGAAAGCATTTACAAAAAAAATTTGTGTCATTTTTTTTTCTGATGGACTATTCATCTTACACCAAGTAAAACTTAAAATCAACCAGGACACCTGTAGCTGTGTATAATAGCAAGTGAGCATATTCAAAAGCCATTATTTTTACTAAAATGGCATTGGCATATGACAGACTTTATATTCTGCTTATGCATAGGATATAAAGTATTTCCTGTTCACTCACTATCTCTCATGGAGCTCTGTGCCACATGTGAGAGTTTATGGCAAAATATCTCTAGGGTCAGATTCGAATATCCTTACTGATGCTGAGTAGCACTTTATACTGGTACTAATTGTGAATGTGGGTAGCTGAATCCTGACCACAGTGATTTTGATTTGCCCTCAAATAATCATCCTTTTCCTCTGAATATGTGGATTGTGGATGCCAGGCGGTCAGGGGTAAATATGAAGAATTAGTCTAAATAAACTATCAATCTTTACACCTTTATTTTTTTTAAATTATTTAACTTTTATTACTGTTGCACCATTTATACAATTACATATAATTTCAATGCATCCATTGTACATTTTGTTTTTCATTTGTTTTCCAATGAGTGGTGTGTTGGTGTCTGTGACACAGAATGGAAGAGAAACTGGAACTGCAATGAACGCAGACTTTTTCATTTCCACTGACCAATAAACAGAACTACAGGTGCACCCAACCACAGACATGCATTAACTCGTCATGAGAAATCTAGGTAGGCTAAGTAGGATGAGAATGCTGTTTACTCCCAAAAATATTTGGAGAGGAAGAAGAATTGGAGGATTGGCATTGAGAAAAATGTGGACAGCTAAGTGGGTTTTGTCTGAAAGTTGGCATTCATCCACTGCATAAAAAATATATCAAAATAAGAGGCTGTAAATAAAAAAAAAAAACACCCACAGAAAATACTGCTTTCATAAAGATCTGATTGCCTTGGCACAAGCCCAGTGGGCAGAATCAAACGCATCACTCCCAAACCCCATTACAGAACAAAAAAAAGATTTTGATACATTGGTGGAGTGCATTTACAGCAGTTCAGATACAAAAGATGTGCTGTACTTTCAGACATCCATATTTTTCATTATTATTTTTAAATCCTGGCAGAAAGTATATTAGATATTTCCCCACAAAAATACTATTTGGATTCTTCCCCCCTCCCTTGCTCCCTCCCAACTTGATGGGACATCCTTTTTTTCCCCCCTGGGCAATACATATTGTTATTTCAGATTGGAAACAAGTTAGTATAGCTGAAAAAATTAAAAAAAAAAAAGACACAGGTTGTTTTAAGTGGTTAATTTCAACAGGCTGTCCAATTTAATCTTGCACTGCTATGGTTTGATCCGAATTAGTCGCTGGAACTTCAGAAGATTTCGCTTCCTCTGGTGGGGCTGCAGGCGCTGAAGCCTTGGGAGTAGAACTAGGTGCTTCTGTTGCTGCCGGGGTCTCCTTGGAAGAAGGTGCAGCCTCGCTGCTGCTAGGTTTTGAGTCTGAAGCTGGGGCCACATCACTTTTAGTTTCTTGCGCTGCAGGTGCTGCGGGAGCCTCAGTCTTTTTGGCTTCCCCTTCCTCTTTGCTCTTGTCATCTGCTTTACTAGTAGCTGTGGCTTCTGAAGGCTGGGAAACTTTTGCATCATTGCTGGGCTCAGAAGTTTTAGGTGCTTCACTACTGGCAGCAGGAGCAGAGGCTGAAGTCTGTTCCTCTTGCTTAGGTGCCAGTTGTTCATTGTTCTTCTGTGGCTCCACTTTTGCGTCGACAACGGCCTCTGGCTTCTCTGGTTCAGATTTCTGGACTTCTTCCTGGCTCACGGCTTTTTCTTTTTCCCCTTCTTTGTCTTCTGTCTTATTGGCAGCAACCTGAGACTCTTTATCACCCTTCTCCTCCTTGTTGTTCTCCTTCACTTCTGCGGTCTCTGTGGTTTGCTGGGCATCCTCATTCTGTTTTGGAGTCTCCTCTTCCTCAGTAGCTGCTCCCTCAGCCTTCTTGTCCTTGTCTTTAGCTTTTTCGTCATTCACATTGTACCCCTTCTTCTTCTTGCTAAGTTTGCCTCCCATGTTTGGAGTTCTGCAAAAAAAGAGAAAAAAGACGGTTAACAAAAACCTCTACCTCGCCTCCTCAAAGCTAAATTCCTTACTACTTCTCACACCAGCAGCTGGAAAGTTTGGGTGCTGGCTATTCCAGCAGAGAATGCAGTAACTTGATCAGTGATTAGCAACTGAACACAATGATCCACTAGCTTGCCAAACACCTATCAGGGCACTATCTGCCCTGCCCCAGAGGCCCTGCAATACTTATGCCACCAGATCCTTAAATCATCACCCCATGAAGTCAAGAAGAATCATCTGCTAGTGCTATTTACCCCTCCACCTTCCAATTTATGTCAGGAGGAACTGAAAAGGGAGGAAGAGGAAGCATGCAACCCTATCCTCTTATGTCTCAGAAAGGTATTCAAGTAGGATGACCAGATGAGAGGAAGAAAATATCGGGACACATGGCGGGGGGGTCACCGAAAGGAGCACACACACAAAAAAAGTGAAGTGCTGCGAAATATCGGGACAAATTGCGTCCCAACCAAACATCGGTCGGGATGTGGGACAAACGCCTAAATATCGGGACAGTCCCAATTTTATCGGGACGTCTGGTCACCCTATATTCAAGAGGAATAAAAGAAGAAGAGCTCAGGAGTACCATTCAAGTTAGACAAATACTAAATTTGAATCCTTACAAATCCTAGCTGCTATATCCATCTCTGGCTAGCACGAAAGTCCACTATTACTCAGTCCCTAACAAAACTTGTTATGGATTTACTAGTCCCCAGAAATGCTTTTAGAGGCCTTGAGAATAAAAGTGGTCATTGCTTCTCAGTGATTGAAATGAATCCATCACATACAAGCAACTTGACAGCACTGATCCATACTAGGGGTGCTTGGTATAACAAAAACCACAAACAAATAGTGCATGTTCAGTAGCCAGATTTCACATGTTAATAACTCGGCTATTTATATTTTGATCCAGAGCTGAGACCACAGGCCAAGTTTTAGCCTAGAAAGAATTTTTTGTTGTTGTTTTTTACAGCCAAGCTATAAACTGATTCAAACTGTTTTAGAATGAAAGTGCTGACCCAATTAACAGTGACACTGAACGGATTTATGTTTTACCCAACATAAAAGACTGCATATACTTCACAACAATGTCCTGTGACTTACATAGTTCATTCCCACTAAGAAGGCAGATTGTCCACTGGGTGTGTATGCACAGAGGACAAAAATGTGCACACAAATTCAAGTTTGATTAAGTGGACATGTCCAATACATTCAAAATTAAAATGGAATCAAGAATCAGGAAGGACTTTGGAATAAGGACTGACCTGGCTTATTGTGCAATTTATCCTGTTGTTCCTTCATATTGCAGCACATATGGTATGTAAAAATCTCCCACTGTTTTAATTCTGTCACCTAAGGAACCTTATGAGCTGCAATACTTGGGCACAGCAGGTTGAGTTAAGAAACAGCAACACTGACAACCTGAAATACAGCAAGGCTATTACCTAATAGAGAGAAACAAACCCAATGTGGGGATTTTTTACATGCAGGTTTATATGTAGTACACAATGTAATATAATCTATTTAACATGTTTAAAATGTTATACCTCTTTCTTACAGCTTCTCACCAAGATTTTTAGATGTACTAGTGATTGGATCCCCAACCTGAGTCACCTTAAAGAGACCCAACTTTCAGAACCCCCAAGTCCCCACCGTTAGTCAGGCCCCTTTAAAATATGCCTCAAGCTGGACATGCAAAAGCGAAGACACCCAACATCACTCATCATTTCTGAAAATTTTGGCTTCTGTCAATAGGTGTGTACCTCTGTATTTGATGTGAGGATTTATATCTCCTTGGTAAGGAGTAAAGACTCAAGTCTTAGCTAACAAGATCTTTACTCCTGAACTGTACATTGAAACACAAATTTGGTCTGGTTAAGACAAAGGAGAGATTGAAAGGTGATGTCCTTATTAATGGGCCCCCAACTTGAAAATCCACACTCTGTCTGAAAAATATTTACCCATTATTGTTACCAGTAATACTACCGTTGCAACCTGGAGAGCATCATAAATGAAAGGTTAGAGCGGGGAAATTCTCTCTTTCAGTTTTATATTTAGAAGACAGCGAACAATCAAATGTACTGTCAAATACATGTTCCATTTCAGAGTTTCCTCTGTAGAGTCAAATTACTAAGTTTCCCTTGTTTGGGTGGTTCTTTCACACAGCTATAGGGGAGAAAAAATATATATGAATTTTTTTGTATTTTTACATTCACAATTATTAGGGAAAATCAGGGGCAGATATAATATCAGGAGTTACTCTTAAGCCATTTTTTAAAATGACTACCTTTCAAGTTAACTATGTCCCTTTAACATCTTAGTCTTCCTGAAATTCCTTTTACAAAAATCTAATTTAATTTGCACCACCTATACTCTTTTTGTATTTCTCCTAGCTTGGGAAATGAAGATAACCTAGAAAAAAATGAAAGTGAAACTGACTAGTCAAATTCTACTCTAGTACAATCCTGCAATGTTTATATTATAAAGACTGCAATATGTTGTTTCCTTGACATCTTTCTATTAGCATTTTACTGCAAACACAAATCTAATTTTAGGGCAGAAGTTGAACTATGAGTGTCCCTTTAAGATACAACAGCACTCTATATCAAATTTACCAAAATAGCGATAGCATCAACTGCGGGGAGGGGATAATCCATTCCATCCTTCTGCATGGTGGCCAAAATATCCATCATACACTCAAGTTACACACCATCTGGTGATGTTCTACCCATTTCCTATCAGATTTTGAAATGCAACCCCCATTAATTAGTACATTACTTGACAAGTAGCACTGATATGCCATTTCAGTCCTCATTTCTTTGGATTGGCATATTACCACTGATCTCGATGGAGACCATTTGTTTTCAGCAGCCTGGACAAGGGACCTTTCTGCAGAAAGGTAGATTTCCTGCTGCTGTATCACCAAGGCATATGCACAGTCTAACAGTGGCTCCCCTGTATATGTTCAGTTGAAATTGGAAATTATGATCGACAGTGACCTGTCAGGTCTCAAGCCTCAAACAGGAGAGTAATCACAAGGAAACTATTTATGTGGGTAATGGGGAAATGTGGAGTCCCGCAATGGTAATGTATCTTAAGAGCCTTATGCTGAGAAGTAATATGCTATTCCCAAAGAGATTGAAGGGTGAACCACTGTAAAAGGATTCTAACCCTAGGTGAACAATACTGGAGGATTCTAAGGACTACTTTTGTTGAAGGAAGTTCAACCTCTTAGTTATTTAAAAAAAAAGGCCAAGGACTTTGTTTGCTGTCTGATAATATCATGGCCTCCCCAATTCTCACTACTTATTAGTCTAGTCCATTGATTTCAGCTCCAGCACTTCTTATAGAAACAAAAGGCGGTTTACACGCTCGTACAACTGATGAGCTTCAGAGGGTTTCTGCAATTCAGCAGGAACAGAGATTTATACCAGAGCTGTGTGCACTTCCAGATTTCCAATCCCTAACTAAGCCTCTATTTGTTTTCCAGTACTAGTGCCCAAATACCATGAGCCTAATTTCATTTTCTGCACCTTCTGTATTTTTCCAGATTTTACTATATAACATGTATTGCAATTTGCCAACCTTGCTTTTTTAATACAAATTATTTTGCTCTGAATACTGCTAGTCACAAAATGCTCTAGGGTAGAGGTCCTTCAAGAAGCAGAAATACATGCTTAAAAGAAAAATACATGCTCAAGAACCTATGAAATAGATTTTATTTGTTCTGATGTATTTTCTGTGTGGTTCCTGTGCCCCAGATTTACCTGCAGCCAATCGGTATTATGCATTAGGACAGAAAGGAGGGGGAACGATGTACAAACTATTTTCAGATCTATTTATAGATGCTTAGAGTTAAAAATGGACTGCTACTTTCCAACCTTGAGAATAAGCTAACCAAAGCAGATAAGGGTTTTTTTAAAAAAGACAGATCACTCTGGAACTTGTAGGCCAGCTTATTAGACAGCCAGCACTCCCCAAACTTTGAGGGGTACACAAAATCCAAAGTTTGGTTTTGGAACTCTCTCTAGCTGTTACCAGCTGAATGTGGTGAAATTTAATTTGTGTAATCAAACACTCTCAAAGAGAGGGCCAGTTTGTATTATTGTGAAGAGGTCCCTTGAATTTTGATATCTGTGCTCTTCCATCACTGGAGAGAAATAGGAAAAGCAAAGTAGTATATAGGCTGTTTCTGTATGAGTAGTGAACAGCAATAATTTTCTGAGGTTCCAAAGCAGTAGTTCAGCCAAGTAGAGTGAAGTAAAAGACTTACAAGCTGCACTGGAGATAAAAAGCATTTCAATCCATTCAGAATTTTTTCACTGTAGTGTTCATCCAAAGGTAGAGGAAACATTAAGAAAAAATAACCTGTATGCAGATATTAGAATGAAGATGTTCTAAAAGAAGATCAGTGTATATGTATAGGCTTTGTTCAACTCCTTCTAAAAGCTTCTTGGGCCAGATTTTTAAAAATCTGGGACTTTGTCCTCTGCATTAAAGTACTCACCCTGAGGTTTTCTATCACTCCCAGAAAGTAGCACCAGAATTGAGTATCCTTCACAGTTTATTTTAAAAAATCATTTCTATATCAGTAAATTAGCAACTATCCTTCCCCCCTCCCCACTACATACTGTCAAACACTCCCCCAAAATGGAATATACATGATTAGCTGGATACCTAGGATGACAGCGTCACAAAATTTTAAATCTAAGATCATGGATTACAGTAATGTATTCACAGAACATAATGTTTAAAAAATTCAACTGGTCTTTAAATAGGCCAATATAACAGACCCTGGAAAAAAGTACAGTATAAAAATCTGACTGAACAGTTTTTAAGAGTCATAATTAAATTGTGCCTCTCTAATGAAATTGCATCCTTCTGAAAAAAGTCAATAGACCTATCTCTTTATATAACCATCTGTTTCAGGGTTTCATCTATAAAGTTATGACTTCCTGTATA